ACTGGCGGCCGGAGAACCCAGGGCATCATCATAATCAACAGCCAACAAAAAGAACGACCGACACGTGACTACACCACAAAACTCTCAGGAATATAAAAGTTTTCCCCTTCCCCCCTCGCCAAAATGAACTGCTGGCATTCTGCTGTTTCCATTTTTTCGGTTGCTGTCTGCACTTAATGGAAAATGTCAGTTCGCCTCCGGCGTCAAACGTTTTATTGAAGTTTTCACTGAGGCGGCGGACTCAACGAACCCAGCGAACATCGAAATCCCCACCACAGTGCGTCATCTGCTCCTCTGGCCACCTTTCGGGTTTTCCCGCTCCCCGTTCTGGAGTTGTGTTTTTCTTGGCCAGCCGTTAAACTTAACGAACCGGAAGTGGTTAAGGGAAAAGCGCACGGACAGGTCTTCACTCGCGGCGGAAAAGTGCTCGAGTTCGCGTCGATATGACGGAGAATCAGAGCTGCCAAATTGCCGTATAAAAAGTATTGTTAATTTTAATGGAAGACGAATTCGACAACTGGTAAATGATGAAAGTTTTTCTCTCAACATACCTAAACACAATACCTTCGAAAACAGTTTCATTCGGTAATTCGAAGATTATAAATCAAACAAGTCTTAAAAGTTTAGCAAATTTGTTTAACGATGAGCAGCCAAATTACTAAGTCAAAATCGACGACTCCAAAATTAGTGAGATCATCGCCAAAGACTGTTCAAAAAGATGCAGTAGAAGCAAAAGTTTTTTGTTGCCAGTTTGAAGTATTTGGTCGCGTGCAGGGTAAGAAAAGGCCTTCATAAAATCACTTATACTCTGTTAAATAAAATACACTTTTCATCAGGTGTCTTCTTCCGCAAGGTAAGGGCCTTATAAATTTGTTTTTGCTTTTATTTAGTTTTGTAATAAGAGCACTTTTAAACTTCTAGCATACCCAAAAAAAGGCCAAAGAGTTGGGAATAACTGGCTGGTGCATGAACACTACCCGCGGAACAGTACAAGGAATGCTCGAAGGATCCTTAGATCAAATGACTGACATGTGAGTGGGCTATTTAATCATGATCTTAAGACTAGCAATAAATAAGAGAAATATTTTAGGAAATACTGGCTGCAGCACAAAGGCAGTCCTCGCTCGGTGATTGAAAAGGCAGTGTTCTCCGAAGTTGAGCCTCTGCCCATCAACAATTTTAAAATGTTCTCTATACGTCGCTAGAGATTATTTTATATCAACATTTATTTAATAATTTTGTTAAGTTGAAATTATGTTTTTAGCCAGCTACACAACCGATTGTCATGCCATAAGCCTGAAACGTGAGATTCTTTGAGAGCACGTAATAAAATTGCTGTTGTGGCTCCCAAAACAATTGTCGTATTAAGTGTGTATGCCGCAAATGGCCAAAGTTCTCCATTCACTGGGGACTATGTTGGCTTGCCAATTAGTTAGGCCATGATCCGTCGCATATTGCCTTTCTAACATTTGTCCATAGCAATTTTTACACCAATGCTGCGCCAATTGTCAAAACAATTTCAATTTGTTTTTTCAGCCATCAAACTGTCGGTGCTTTCGTTTCCAAAACGGTCAAAGTTTGGACTCGCTTCTGCCAATTCGGCGACAAATATTGTTGTGCATCCCGAAAAAGCCAAAACAAATTTACATAAATAAATAAAAGTTGACTGAGTTCACAAATGGTAACAGTTGGCGCCTGATGGCAATTAAAAGCCTCTGCGCCACTCTCAACGGTTTGCTTTTTATTGTGTTTATCTTTGTCACCAAGGGGATGCGATGGTGACTCCGCTGGATGCCTCTGTTATTTATTTGGATTGTTGTGTGTGTCTGCCAAACACTTTATTATAAACTGTTAAAACCGCAAAAAGTGCACTGGCTAAACAAAATTGTTTTCGGTTTCCAATTGCCAGTGCTGCAGCAGTTACTCATTACAAGTGGTTGTAATAATTGTCGGTAGTGAACAATGTTGGATACCAAATTTAATAAGCAAACTGGAAAAATAATTTATAGTTAAAAACAAACTAGCTCAAGAGGCTGTTGTAATTATATTTGGCTTGGATATTGTTATTTCAATAGTTCATTATTTTTAATGGGGCTATATTTGATGTGTTTGGCTGTAGTCGAGCAGCATTTTGGTTGTAAAATATTGATTTTTCCAAATCGTATTTATAAACAAATTTATTTAATATAAGGCCGAAATAAACAAGAAAAGTGAAACTATTTCTGGGACTCTTTCTTGAATGTGTGAACGTAAACTCTTCTGCCAATAAATTGCTGAATCAAGTCGGTTTCAGGATTTAGGGAATCTTCCTTGGTCCTGTTCCCGGAGCCTCCGATTTCTCGGCCGTACAATGTCCTGGGCATTTATGCCATCTCGGGCCAACTCGCGGCTCAGAAGTCGTCTATAGAGGAGCATCTTGCGCTTAGTTTCCGGGGTGCCCATGGCTGTGCTGAACTGCATCCCTGGTTGGTGGCCTCGGGACGACGATCTTCACAATGAAAAAGTTCCGATAAAAAAAAAGTATAGGAAAAGGAAAAGATTGTATTCAATCCAGCTGTGGCCAAAAAAGGACCAGAGCTAGAACCAACTAAAGCGGATTTATGGCTTAACTTTGGGCCTTCTCTGCCAGTCCTAAACTTACGCCTTTTTGTCAGACATTTGGTTTACCAAAATCTAAAAGACCAGCCAAAGAGTTTACGATACAATTTTGAGGGAATTTTGAAAACTAAATTGAGATCATTGCCAAATGGAGTAGTACTAGGAGATTCGTAGCCATCTAGGTCTCATTATTTAAAAATAAATACAATTTCATTTGATGCATAGTTTTTGGAATGTGTGCTGACTTTCGTGAAGAAAGTTTTCAAGAAACTCAACTTATTAAATTTAAGAAAATCCATCTTAATGGGCTTTAATTTAATTGTGTCAGGGCGTTAATTTCTTAACGTAATGCTGTATTTTGTAAACTAATGCATATTTAGGAATTTACTTAGATGCTTTATATAAAAACGAGCACAATGTTAAATTTTTGGTAAGGCTTGCCGTAACTTTCGGCGATTTTCACTGCATTTTCTGCCACAACAACGAACCAGCCGGCTAAATTAAGTCATTAAATGCCACCGAATTTGGAATGCACAACAGGCAAACGACAACAAGGCACGCAAACAGATAAAAATCCCGGAGCAGGGGTTAAAAAAAAAGCAAGGAGTTCGGGGGAGTGGAACCGCTAAAAGCCGGATTCGGTAGCGCCGATAATCAATTCCGTTTCCGGCTGACAGTTTGCCGCATCGTGCGTGACCCAAAATATGCATAAACAGCACAAGAAAAATAATAATAATAATTGTAATAATTTCGTGATCCGCCAAAGCAAAGGCGCCGACAGGGGCGGAGGGGGCGTGGTATGCGCTGCACGGCTATTGAAACTTTCGGCTCGCGTGCTCGCATGTCGAAAAGCGTTGGAAAACCGTTGGAAAACCCGCTCCATTAGCTGTTGATAACGAGTTCATTGACGAGTTCATTGGCACATTGATTCCCATTGATTGCATGGCACAGGGTGTTTTTGAGGGGTCGCTGCTCCAAATGCGGTTAGTGTGGCGGCTTAAATGTGCATGCCAATCGCAGAGCAAAGACGAAAAGCCAAAGTTTCAAATGGGAGCTGCCATAAGGGGATCAAAAGACCATGCCCAAAAATTTGAGACTCTCAGACAACGTTAAAAAAAGAATTTATGTAAAACTATTGTTTACTTGAGCTTAAGATTTTACAAAGGTGCTTAGTTAACATCTAATAGATATGCACCGGAAAATTATTTTCAATAAGATACTTGACTTGAAATGCTAAATATAAATGGATAATGGTTACTATTACACTAAAATTGAATATATCTATAAGGAAATGTCTATAAAAACCTATGAATGTACATTGAGTAATATATTAATCATATTTACATGACTTGTGCAATATTAACTATGAGCATTAACTCTTTTTCAACCCCTTTGTTTTTTTAGTTAAAGAATAAATCGTTTTCTTAGTATATTGGATTAGATATCGATCCCACCATTCGACCGCGTTCCAGACCTGGCTGCAGCGGCTTATTAGCCATGCAGACCATGTTCCAGGCTCCTTCGGGCCCTGCTTAGCCACGTAAGCCCCCAAAACTGCCAGCTGACTGTATTCCAAATCTCAGTCCACACACAATCGCTCCAGACGGATACGTGGGGCGAAATTGCCGCATCACCAGCAGCAGCAGAAGCAGTTGAAACCCCCAATTTGCCTAGCCCTTCGTTGTCTAGACACAAAACCCATCTCTATGCTACGAAAAAAAAAACTTGCGCAAATGTTGCATTATAGACTACAGAGCAATGGAGGCAGCAAATGTGGCAGTTGGGAACGAGAGGTTTGAGCTTAGATATAGGAACAGCCGTTACCGCGAAAGGAAACTTATTAAAATTTTACAGCCTGCTGGCAGATATGAAAAAACTCCACCAAATTGTGTTCTACTGTTTTTAAAATTTAATTTATGCTGTGATGATTTTTTTACTAGAAAGCACATGTTTTCTGTAATAATAATTTCTCACTATTTAAAAAAAATATTGGAAATATTTGTGTAGCATTGCATGGCGTGGCCTCGTGTTATGTGGTAATTTGATGAATGTGTTCCTTGATTAACCCTGACTCCAGTTTTAAGCCCTTTGCATGCAGATGGAGTTTTCGGAGGCAAGCAAACTTTGCATAATAAATGAAGGCGATAAGAATGCTGTCCGGCTTTGTTTATGTTTATGTTTCTTGGCCTTTTATTTTTATGGAATACCTGGGGGCGCTCGAAGGGAAACTTTTGTGGGTGGCAAATGCTTTTCGTGGCCGGATTCGGATCCCAAATGCCGCGGGCTGCGAACGAAGTTGGTTCGACTTTGAAGATTTCAACACAGAATGCCTTTTGTTTTACTGTTATCGAAACAAGTCAAGGGTCAAATTAGCCTTTGAACTTTTCTTCAAACTGCCAGCCCGAAGCCCAGTCAGTCATCAAATGATGTGAGTGAAAACGGGTCAATTTTTTGTGTAAACAAAAAACTCCCAATAAACACAAAAATTTCGGCTTGCAAAATGGAAGAGACCAAAATTTTGGAAAACGAAATGACATCACCAGCAGACAAGATGAATCCAGCAAGTGCACAGAAAGAACAAGACGGGTTATATTTAATGCGTTTGTCAGATTCTAAAGACTCACTTGACCCAATGAACAATGACATTGAAAAGGATCAGTCAAAAGTGGATGTGGCAGAGAATCAAGGACAACAGGAAGGCCAGACAAAAGAATATAACACAATTTCCGAAGCTAAGCAAGAAAACGGTGATATAAATGAAGACTCTGATAAACACACTCTACATAAATCCAAGGAAAAAAGTCAAGAAAAGTTAATTGACACGGATTCGAATAAAACACTTGCAGTGGAAGAGAACCAGGAAAATATCAAGGATAACGAGCAAGGCGAAGAAAACCTGGAGAGCCTGAGCGGAAAAAAGGAAAATGAAGAACTTATCGAGGTCAAGGATCTAGTCATCCCTAAGGACACACAGGACACTACTGCTGAATCGGAGCCTGACCTGGAGAATACTTTGCCACCAACTCAGGAGAAACTGGAATCTCCGGAGAAAACAATGGAAACCATAGCTGCAGAGGAGTCTACTAAAAAAGAAGAGCAAAACGATCCACTGCAAAAAATTAGACAGGATATGGAACAATATTTCAATGGCATTGTGGCCCTGGAGGAAAAAAAGAGATTGCAGGACGAGATGAACGCAAAGGAAGCTGAAGATATTATTAAGGAAGAGCAGAAAAGGAAGAACTGGATGGAAATGCTTATGGAATTCAGCCAAGCCACAACCTTATCAAGTTCGAGGTGAGGAGATAATGTTTATATTAACTCTGATTTTGATTGTTAACAGCATATCCATTGCAGCACTTCATCGGGAAAGACTCCTCGATCCGTGGTCGCGGCCATTTTGCAGAGGTCCGCCAAGGCGGAGTACAAGAGGAAGATGAGCATCCTCACAGAAAACTTATCCTTTCGCCTGGGGCTGATTAAGCAGCTCAAACACGACATGAAAAACAACTTTAAGAACAAGGCCCAGCAACTCTACAGCGAATACCACTCCGTCAAGAACCAGACACAGTACAGACCCACTTAAAGCGAAATGCACACGGCTCACACCATTCCAAAAAGTGGTCAACTGTAAGGAATGAACTACTATTACTCAGCAACAAAGCTTTGAAGGCAACACTACATTCTCTTCATCTTGAGAAGGACACACAATTGTGACACCGAAGCCAAATTTGAGGGACATTGGATCCAATAGCATTCCTAGAAGTAAACGAGCCTGCCGAAAAAAGGACGTTATGACACTGTACCTCTTGGATTCATTGTGTGCACTTGCTTCTTTGCATCTTAAAGAAGTGTAGCTGCATCTCATTAACTGAGTTCTGAAAGTACAGTCTTCACTTCGTGAGTCCCGCGGTATGCAACAGTTTTTTTTTGCCCGGCAAACCTTAAATTTGCGTCACTTCTGTTTTGCATGTCGAAATAAAACAACTCGCAGCAAAGACAATGAAAATTGACCCAAATACCTGACTCTATTGTAATTTTCCTCCTTTGGTATTGTAATTTATGGTCTGCGAAAGTGAGGGAGGGGCTTTTTCGGGTCGCAGTTGCCGGGGAAATGTAGAGCAGCAAAGTGAACAAAAGGTGCCCGTTGATATCCAGCTCGGACTGTTTCGCCGGCTTTAAAATTAAATTCAGCAAGAACACTGAGCTTTTGTTCTAGTCCTTTTAAAACTGTTTCTAGCAAGGCGCTTTTTATACTTTTTGGATTTACTTTCACAGTTTCTTGAATTCTAACAAAAAACCCCTTAAAAAATTATCAAAAGAACAAAAATTTATAAAAAGTTTTGTGTGAATTCATATAAGTAAAACTAATTGGAAGAAAATTGTTAAGAAATGTGTTGAAAACCCTAACCGTTTTGGTCGTCTTATTTTGTTCATAACTAAAAAAGTTTTATTATGTTTAAAATGATTAAAATATCCGCTGGTTAACCACAATATATAAAATCAAAGCAAGTGTTTCTGCTCAAGTAGTTGCTTTAAAATCTAGCAAAAGGTTTTCCCCTTTGTTCCTTTTATTATAAAAATTATTTGAAGAAAGTTTTGTGAGTTTTGAACGTTGCGATTAATTATATATTTAATTATATTTTATATGTTAATAATGTTTAATTAAAAAGTTTATATTAAATATAACAACTTTCACATCTAAACGTAACTTTTTATCCAAATCAATATGGTTGTTTTTTGTTATATTGGTAAATTCTTAATATTTAAATACTAGAAAATGAGAACTGATTGTCATTTTACTTTATAACAAAAAGTTATAATCGCTTTTTATTTTCTACAATACTGTATACTGTATAATTGAATGATTTTCTTGCTTTGGGACAACTTTAAGGTTTCCAGAGGACGTTGATCACCGTGGTCGTGGGTGAGAATCGCTCCCCGGGCGGCTAATCCGTTCAAAGCTGCCAAAAATCTCCGGCGTTTTCGTTAGCTGTGACGCACAAAAAGTTGGCGGCCTTTTTGGGAGGGAGAAAAGTGGGCAAAGTGACGGACGGACATTCAGACAAAGCTACAGGCCTAAGCCCACGCCCCCTTTCTCCTCAGCCGCCCCCTGCGGCGGCTTACAACAAAGCGAAATGGTGAATAAAGGCCAGAAGCGCTGACAGCGGGCGTTGAAATGGAAATCAAAATCCCAGCCCCATCCCGAAATCAAAGCAAATCAATGCAAAGCTAACGCTTCTCGCCTCTGCCAACAAAAAATATTTGATGAAAATTGAAAATTTACTTTGGCAATTGGGATTGCAGCACCGTTGCGACAATGAAATATGTCAATTTCAATTACACCAGCGTAAAACACACGCCCTTCGCCGCGGGCAAAAAAGTACTCGAATCCGAATTAATTTCAATGTTTCCACAAATGTGTCACTTTCCCTGTAAAGCTCTATCGATTGCGGAATTGGCAACGCCTTGAGTCGCCTTCGATTGAGCCATCCACTGGGGGGATTGATTGTCGGCCGGGTAATTATAGTTGTTAGGGCTCAAAGATGGCCGGGAATTTGCTGACAGTTGTCTGCGGCCCGAGGCGTGGATTGCGTCACGATGTAACATTGAATTCGCCAATAAGTCGAATGTTCCTTAAGGCAGCTTATTCTATTCTGTAATGTGGGCCAGATTATTTCAGCAGTAAAGTTCTGTTACCTAGCAATGGCATCTTAAAAGTTCAATTTCAAAAATATGTATTTGTCTTAGGGTACTTCTTACTTTGTTTAGTTCCAAATACTGTTAAGTGGATAGAATCTTTTTTATATCCTTGCAGAGGGTATTATAATTTCAGTCAGAAGTTTGCAACGCAGTGAAGGAGACGATTTGGCGATTTTTCAAACAAATTTATTTCTGAAGAATCTTTTTGTTGTAACTTTGCCAAAATAAGACCCAAAGTCAAAAGAGTTGCTATTTTGTACAGCTGGCAACTTATACCATCCGTCCCTGATCGATTTAAAACAATTAATTTTGTTTAAACACAAAAACAGAATTCAGAAAAACGTTTTTTGATAAATTTTGTTTGTCCAAATTATTATTATTATTACAAATTTTTAAAACCAGTCACAAAATTCTCTTCCGACTAAGTTTTAACTTACTCTAAAATCTTGACTAGAATCAACTAAATATTAGAAATTAACTCTTAAAAACTACAGATTTTTGTGCACTGGCGGCTCAAATTTAAATCAACTGTCCTGAAAATCGTGACAACCTTGTGCAACATATCAATATTCCTTAGCTATTTGACTTTGTTTTTGAAGCATCTTGAAGTAATTAATTAATTGGTCCATTAAATTCTAAACACCACAAAAGTGTATTTTGAATAGTCTGATGTTTAGTAAACTCCAATTGCTCATAACCGGATACATGACTAGCATGTGCGAAACATTGCACAAATCACTTTGAAAACTTTGCGCAAGACTCATCAATTTCTCAGGTCTGCCGTGAGATTTCCTGCCATATAAACTCCTGCTGCACAGGGCCCTTATCAATGGGAACTATCAAAAGGCCATAAAACTTTCGCCAACACTTTGCAGACAGGAAATATGACAGGCTCTGCACAATAAACCGAGCTGCCGGTCATTTGCCATGTCCAACTGACTGATTGACTAACTGACGGACTGACTGGCTGGATAGCTGAATGGCTGACCATCTCGGTGTCCTCTGTCCACCAGATTGATTTGCAAGTGGAAAAGGGAAGAGTTGGGATTGAAATTGAACTTGAAAAGTGCACAGCAGACAGGCAACTTCGCAATGACAATGACAGGGATCTCACGATTACACAAAAGCCAGCAGCAGCACAAGCAGCAGAAAATAAAAAGCTACGATTCCGAGACTCTGACTCCCTGTTGTCGATATGATCTCGTCATTATGTCGCCAAAGGCAGACTACCACGAGTAGAATATTGCTGCGGGATGGGGGATTTCAGGGGGAAAGACGTCTGCGAGTTGCGTCGTGTGGGCGACACTTTTATGTGAAATTGATGATGATTGAAAGCTGCATAGGATGTAAGGGCGAAGCATTCCTAGCCATGACAGCGTGATACTCACGACAATCGGGGAGAATACATCGATAAAATAGATGACAGGTCTTATACAATATTTTAAATAAATTTGATTAGAAAATGTTTCAAAAGGTTTCTTATTTTCGCAGTAAAATTTAAATTAAAGATCCAAAGTTTGCTATAACAAAATAAAAGTAAAAGGATTGAACACCTCCTTTTACGTTTATTTTGTACGGACTATTTTTATTGCCTTTCAATATTCGAAATCATTCAGAACTTAACCCAAATATTTTTTGGCAAGCAATATATGTTTAATAGAAATATCTTTTAAATGTTAATTAAAACATAAACAAGTTAGCTCACTATTTTATGAAGAGCAAAAGTCGTAAAAATCATTCTAGATTTTATTACTTAAAATAACATAACAATATAACTTAAACGTCAAAGTCCCATCACTGCAGTCACTCATACTTCTAGAACACTAGCTCATCTCCAGCTGTAATCTTTTGCCTGCCTCTTGCTGATGTCGGCATTCGAATTAAACAATTAAAAGGAAAACAGGCAGTGTTCATTGCTATGTTATGTCCCCACATCAGAGGCCCTCTCCCCCTCCCTTCTAATGTTTCCCATTTAAGGCTGGCCACAGATTTTTATGGCGCCACGATGTTCTTTAAGATATATGTGTCAAAACTACTTCTGTGCCATCGTAAATTTAATTCATAGGCGTCTGCCTCGGCAGCTGATGATTGTCATCGTCATTATGATCATCCCAATCGCAATCAGAATCCCAATCGTGTGGGACTTGGAGGCGAATGCTCATTGCATTTTTATCACTTACGCGAAATTGGTTTTTATGTGTCGGGAGTCTCATGTGCGCCTATTAAATGGATCCGCTGCCTCCTATTCCTTGGCGACCGCACTCGACATCAATTCCACATGTACGCAAGTATACCGCCATCACCACAACTACAATAAGTAAGTGCTGTGGAGTGAGTACGCTCCTCGCAATACGTATACGCACCGTCGGTCGGGAAGGCAGTTAAATGAAATGCTCCGCTGGCCATTTAAACGATGACAATCAAGCGAATAGTCAAGTGATATATTGCAGAGCACTTTCAGGTCTGCCTCATGAAGTAAGGCCCACGAAGGAGCCACTTCTGAGAGACTCTGTCATTGTTTTATTGATTTATAGGAAAGTAACAACAGTCGGTTGATTGCAGTGAACTGTGCCACTTGAGACATTTTAACTTACGCACATAATTTAGGTTTAGAGCAGACGAAGACAATTACCTGCAATAGAAGACAAGGCATACGATTAGAAAGAGAATTTAAATATAATTTAAAATTTTATTCAAAACGAAATCCCCAAAAACATGGCTCTTTTGTACGAAACCAACTGGTCCCTGCGAACGAAAAGTTGTTCTATTAACTCCATATGCCTATCTATGACCTGGAACTTGGAACACACAGGGCAAAAAAACTTCTACCCCCAGTCGGCAAATGAAAAATCTGTCAAGCTCAACAAACTGACAACTTAATGCCGCAAGCCGACCAACCAACCAATCCCATCCAGCCACAGAAGCAGGAGTAAGGACTACCAGGCTCAATGACTTGGCCAGACTGGTCTCTGTGGTAAAATTTAATTTAACATACAATTCAGGATGCCCGGCGACAAATTCTCTGGCCAACAACCAGGGCCACACAATGGCCGGCCGCACTGCCAAAATTGTTGCCTGGACACAAAGTTTTCGGAGGCCCAAGGCTCGAGCCCTTAATTATATTGAGTGTATGAAATCCTTTGGCCACACAATGGCCGGCAGGAAGTGAAAGTGGCCATGTCCTTGTCCCTGTTCGCCGTCGTGTTTAATCCAAGCAATTTGCAATTTGCAATTTTTGGTAATTTAACTTGACAAAACTTTTTAATGGGGGGCAGTCACCCCTCTCAAAAACTGACAATGGGAGTTCGCTCCCATTTGTGGCTGCCGTTCGATTCGATTCGCAACTGTTGCCAGGATTCCATTCACCCCAAAAGACTTAATCCCGGCTATGAAGAAGGAACCCTTCTATCGGTTCCATAAAACCATAATTTTTGATTGTTATGTACTTAAAGGCGAATTTCGTCATGTGCGCTGAATGCAAATTTCGTTTTCAATTTCGTTTTTTATGTCTGCCTGGTCTATTATATTTGATGATTTATGTTTAGCTCAGTCTAGGCAGAGGGGATGGTCCTGGGAACGGGGCACATTGAGCGGACTAAGGCGTTAATATCCTTGGTGCCGGATTTGTCTGCTGAACGCAGAATGGGCAGAAAAGAGTTGTGGCAATTTACGAGATGATTTGATTTTAATCTCTAAACGCCCTCTGGGAACATTCGAGTTGCGTGTTTTGTTTCTGCTGAATCGGTTGTGTGATCAGATTAAAAAGCAAATATTTTGAATTTAAGGGGGTAAACAGAGATTTATGTGAATGAGAAAAGTTTTGTTACAAAGTATTGAGGCATTCGATCTCAGAATCTTTCGTTACTTAACGAATTTAAAACTCGTTATACTGCTAGAAACACCAGAAAAGGAAAGTGTTTGTTCGCTTCATTCTGCTTTATAATTTGCCAACTAAAAAAGAGTACAGGAGAGCTCTATTTGTGCTATCCTCCCTCAGTGGCTCATCTCAAATTTTACTTCAAAACTTCCGAAATTCTTTGCCAAGCTATTTCAATGTTTTCTGATAGCTCTAATTACAAACAACAACAGCAGATCGCGTTGACAACAGAAGCTGGGACGCAGTGGGAATATAAAGTTCAGGGACAGAAGAGGAAAATAAATGTGCCACCATAAGTCGTAATTTCTGCGCAAAAGTCGAGCTCTCTCCCTTCGAGCAGTTTGAACTGTCAAAAATGACAAATAGCCCGTCGAGGATTTAATTTTGAATGCACCGCTTCGAGTTGCGCTGCAGTGGAAATTAACTAAGCGACCTGGAAAAAAGGCGACTTTCGCAGTAGGGAAAAGTCACTGGGAAAGCACCCACCATGGCAACGCAGCCACCACCGAAAATCTTGCAGACTTAAAAGCGATCCACGACACACACCTTCAATCGCATCCACTCCCTTTTTTCTGCCATTTTCCGAGGGGTGCGTTTTTGTCAGGGGGATGCAACCGGGGCCGTTTCATGTTTGTCCGGGAAATTAGTTTGGCTCAACAGCACCATCACCATCATCGGAAAATAAAGGATTTTCTGTTTAGCGGCAGTTTGGAGAACGGGACAAGTATTTATAAATTACTCGTCCGCATCGCAATTGCTCACCCATACGATTTATTGCAATTTCTGGAAAAATGCCCAACTGAATCCAGAACCCAAGGTTGCCGGGACTACAAGCCACGTGCATGATGAAAACCCTTCGGGCCATCCACTTATTAAAAATATTTGTTTGCAGTATCTGCAACTGGGCATTGTCAGTGGATTCTCGGTTTATTTACGATTCGCTGGGGCATGTAATTAAATTTTTGGACTGCACCTTTTCAGCAGGAAGCTCTGTTCAGATAGCTCAAAGTATGTGGGAGAGTTCCTCCTGACAGAATTACAATTTTAAAAGATTTTAAATAGCTGCCCTTAGCAAAGACATTGAAGAAAATTTTCACTTTAAAAAATAAACATATTTGAATATTTGCCTAATAAAAATTTACATTTTCTTAATTATTTAAATAAGTATTAAGTTGATATTTTAAATAATGGCATATTTCTGCATTTCTTCCTTTAAAAGCTGCTTTTAGTATTTTAAAATATTTTCTTTTCTTTGGTAAACATTTTATATACAACTTTTAGTTTTCCGTTACTTCCAAAAATTAAAATAATTATTTAATTTCACATATCAGAATTTATTTCTTTGGGAAAAGAACTTATTTTTCAAATTATAGATCGTTTCATTATTTTACCGCAAATCTATATATTTATAATTGGCTCCTTCACTTAATATTTATTTCCGCACCACTTATCCGACTGCTAACATTTCCCAAAATCTTAAACTTATAGTATACATCGCCATTAATCATTGCATATTTTTGCCTGCCCACACAATTCGTGGGTCATAGCTCATCAGAACTGTAAACTAAACTCATTAATTACTACAATTAGGCAATACACATTTTTTCCGCTCGCCATCAAATTGTTTAATCTGGGCAACCGTTTCATGGCCGTACTGCCAGCTAAATGATACGCACGCGACCGAAGAGCCGACCAACCGACCAACCGACATCGACATTGGTAAAAAGAACTTCCCATTTGGAGTCGTTAAACGAGCCCGCTCCGGATAAGGAATAAAAAATGTATGTAAAACTGCCGTGCTAGACTCGCCCAGGCGATGCAGCTTTGATTAATGGTTTCTTACAGCACGTCATAAGCGGGCAGGTCCTGGCGAATCCAAATCCCAACCCCCCTTTCATTATCAAAGGCTGAGTGAGCAAAGCACCGGGCCGAATACCTTTTTTTATATTCTTGTAAAAAGAGAAAAGAAAAAAAAAGGAAAGACGACGGGCCAGTCAAGTATAATTAACAACTTTGTTGGGCCGGTTTTCCTTTCGTTGTTCGTTAAGAAATTGCAAAAAGTTGTTGCTCGTTTTATGTAAATGATGTGTAAACACCACGTGCAGGAGTTCATAATAATGCTGAGCAGTGCAACAATGTGGCAGTTTGAAAAATACTCAATGCATATTTCGTGGCGCATGTCCATTAGCAGGGAAAGGGACTAAGACGAGAGTACAACGACACGTGTCGCTGCGATTTATTAGCATAATTTCTCTTCCTCAGGTTTTTAATGCTCGCCACGGAAGCATTAAAGCGAAATGGATGTTCATCTACCCGAAATGATCTGAGGGAGTGAGGAGACTCGCTTTTCAATTTCCATGGCAGCCCCGGGTGTCATCTTCGTCAGCATAAATTCCCAAGAACTACTGCCTTAATTGTTGTGCATTTGTCAACCTGAGCATACGAAGCACACTTCCAAAAACGGCGTCAAACACTCGAACCTCTCCAGCTCAGACCAAAGGAGAATCCCCACTTGAGTCCAACACGAGACGCTTTAAATTCTGGAACACAAGCCCAGGCATTTGCTGGATGCGAGTGTCAAGTGGGGAGCATCCGAGTCGGGTCTTGTGCTATTTATGTCTTACTTAGTAGCACATTTGCTGCGACTAGTTCGTAAATTAATTGGATTTGCAATTACACGCCCCACAAGAGTGAGACTAGCAAACGGCAGAGTCGCTGGCAGTGGAGGGTAAAGTCGGGAGTGTGAGAGTGTATGGCGAATTGAATGCAAAGAGCTGACTAAATGGATGAAAGCAAAACATAGGGTCTGGAATTGAATAAATAGTCCCTTTAAAAGAGCTATTATTAAGTAAACACATTGAGAAGCGCATAGAAAGGCGCATACATACCATCAACATAATAGCTTTCGTTTCAGACGCTGTCTGGTAGTATTGCCGTTTGCAGTAATCAATAGAAACATACGGCAGGCCATTAAATGCATCCAAAGAAACCCAAAAGCATTCATTCATTCCCTTCCTCAAGGAATTCTTATCCCTTCTTCAGATCGACCATTAAACTAATTGCTGGCATACAACATTTTTATTGCATTTGCCGACTCCTTTTCAGGCATTCCATTTCGTACATGCCAACGCTTAATATGCATAACAATAAATGGTCATACACGAGCACAGGTTCCCCACGCCCACTCTAAATTTGACAAGAGCAGTCAAACACTCACAACGTACACACAAACGAACGGAAAAATCAAAGGCAGGAAAAGCGAAAGCAAATTGCTCGAAGGCCTCACCTGTTCAAAACAGTCCCCAGTGAACATTCCAATACAAATGAAAACGGCAATGGAAACGGACAGAAAGCAAATTTCATACAAAATTAAATTAGATTTTTCGGCAGTCGAGGAAATTGCCGCACGCACGCAAACACCGCCAGAAATATTGAAATTACACACAGGAACGCAAAATTCAAAAATATATCTCCCGATCTCAACCCATCCACCACACGTAGGACTTCTATGCAGAATAACCACCGGTCATTTGTTAGTAGACAAACATTGGGCATTCTATGTGCCAGTACCTGAGCATCCGAGAGTGGTTTGCGTGCCCAGTCAAACGGAAATGGGCAAATGCCTACGCAAATGTGCGCATTTCAATTAAATTTCCGTTTTAATCACTTTTACAAGTTCTATTGCAGCCGTTGAGAGTGGCCAGCATGGGTTAAGCAGGGGGTCACAGGCACATGCCCATGTCGGTATGCCCACTCATTAAAACTGTGTCTGGGGTCATGTCATGCGTTCTAATTTGATGACGTTGATCCGTGATCTCCTAGTACCATCCACCTCTGACGTTAAAATGTTGAGAAGCGCATAGAGAGGCGCTTCACATGTTGAGGGTATGTTGATGAGGTCTCACCAGGCGGAAAGCTCTTAAAAGCTTTCTGAAATAATCTGTTACAAAGAAAATATCTTAGTATGGGTGCATTTAAGTTTTATTTACCATTTACTTTATGAAGCTACCTATTGAAAAGCCTTAAACTTGCAAACTTTAAACTAGGGATGTTTAAAATTTTGCCTACCATGCCGATCAAAAGTTATGAGAGCCTAATTTCGGACAGTGTACCGACACCCATCGGGCTTTATGGTGGTTTCGCTGTCCGTTGTCTCAGACTTGTACTCGTCGTTGTTCCAGACCAACCTTACGGGAATGCTAATCGAGATGCCCGACGAGGAGAAGGACTGGCCGGTGATCGTGGTGTTCGAGCTAGTCCGCTCATTGCAGAGTTCCTCGTAGGGCACCAGTGCCATGTCTCCAATATCGGGACTCTCGTCCCATGAACTGTTGTCTAGATCCTGATCTCGATCTCGATCCCGCAGACCGCACTCCGAAATAATGGGCGACGAGTGGGCTCCACTTTGCGCCGAGTTCCACACCTGGTGACCACTGCCAGGATCGCTGATCTTCTCGAAATCTGTCGTAAGGGCCAACATGGATACAAGCGCCCTTTCCTCCAGCCTGTCTGTATATCCTCCGGCTTTTGATCTCGGCATGTAGGGCAGACTCTCCTCCACGGGCAAGGAGCTGCGTCGAAGGAGCTTCTGCAGCGTCTTGAAGGACTCACGCATGTCCAGCAGCTGATTCTCATCATACGGCTCGGTCAGAGGAGTATTCGGCACTGACAGAGCATTGATGAGAAACTCCAGGTCATCCTCCATGGTGTTTACTTAGCGATTAAGAAGTTACTGACTAGATTTGAGTCTCTATTTAAATTTTGAAATTTTTTAAAACTAGTTTCTAGGCTGACGAGGAGAAAAGCAAAGCATAGCAAACCCAAATAATCTATGTATATGAGCCATTTATGAATTTTGTCTTTTGATTTCAATTGTAATTTATGCTTTTTTATAAAAGTCTCTTTTAATGTTTTATGTCGCATGATTTTGTCATTTGTCCCCTTGAAATGCCAAACTTTTTTCATTAAATGCCAGCAGCTTTAATCAGACCCTCTCAAGTTCCTGTATCTCCCAAAATCTTCGTCCTGCTTTCTCTCCATCCAATCCCATCCCCACTGAAGTTGCTACAAAGTCATTACGAACAACTTAAGTTTGTGTTAAACACGCCTACATTACAGGATTTTGCATTTGGAGCGGCAAAAACCAAAGTTTAGGGCAAGTAGCTGAGGCAGAAGCGAACTGCAAGAAGTGGAAAACTTGAGTTTGGGTCCGTGTAATAATTGTAATTTCGCAGCAACATCGAGGAGGCGACAGAGGAGGGAACCGAGGAAAACACGAAAAATAACAATCAGAAAGCATTTAGCAGCAACTTCTGAAAGCGAGAGTCGAGGAAGTCGAGTTAACCAAAGTGTGTATGCTTGTCGGCGGCAGGTGGCTTCCTCTATGGTCGAGTTGCAAGTTCGTGTGTTTCGGGTTGGAGAACACACATATATTCCCCCTTTTTCGAATTTCGACGCACATGAAAACTTGTGCCAACAGCGAAGGGAAAAACCAGAAACAAACCATGAATTCCTTTAACGATTAAACAAGGAGCAGGAAACCATATAGGCTACAGTAGTCCTGCTCCCCCATAAATCTCCATCGGGGGTGTATCCCGAGTGTGTTTGCGTTTCGCCTGGTGTGGCAATTTTAATGGCCTGACCTACTTACGATTGCCTACGAGTCAGCTCCTGTTCCTGCTTTTTATCGAACACTTAAAGTAACTTGCTTTCCTTTAATTGCGCAAACTCTACCGTTAATATTCTGCAACGCACGTCGAATGTCTTGCCACCGTTTGTCCTGCCATTTGTCAGGCATCAGAAAATATGTTTAATAATCTGAACGCATTACCAAAACAGCAGCCACTGTGCAAACAAGCGGAAGCAAAAAGGAAAGCGGTTGCGGTTGGGTTTGAGGCTCTAAGGGGTTACGAGCAAGACGACAAGGGGCAAACACATGTAGACGACTCCAAAAGGCAGAGGACTCCAGACAGACAAAACAAACACCGAGGGTGAGATGGAAATATATTAGGAGAGACAGGGGGAGACAACGGGTCCTGCGAAAGCAAAGAGGATGTTTTTCGACAGTGGAATGCGTTTCATGTTTTTATTGGAAAAAAAGAGAAAAACAGAATATTTTTCTTTAACAAGTCCCTGTAAGCTAAGCATACTCATTGGCAATGATGTTAAGAAATTAAGGCTATACTAAGCTACAACCTGTTGGGACTTATACTATATAAAAGATTTTAATTATATAAAAATGTGTATTATTCATTCAAGAAAAAATAGATTTCAAGATAAAAACAAGTATACTTTTTCCACAGTGCCGTATACCCAGCCATTTGGTGCTCGTCTTCCAAGTCACAAAAGCCTATTAAATAACACGGTCCTACACATGCGACCTCCGAGGAAAGAAAGCCAGCAGCAGCAGCAGCCGAAAGTTTTGCTCACAATTGCCAGGATAAGGCAGGACAGAATGGAATAAGTAGTCGCAGTCAGTCAAATGCCGGCAGAAGCCCAAAGTGGTCACATGAAAATATGAAAATATTCATAGCTGAGGAGCAAAAAAGCCAAAAAAGTAATGACGACAACAAAAATACAGTAGGAACGAGGAGGGGGGAAAACTCTGACAAAGTAGAGGGAAACTCGCATGCAGGCAAATGGCAAAAAGTAAACAAATAAACAAATGGGATCGGGATGTATCCTGGTATGCGACGTCAGAGGGAGGAAACTTTAAGAACGATGACGACGACGATGACTGTGATAGCCATCCACCCATGTCTTAGACATTTGCATAGGGACCTGGAGCAACTCCGTGGCGTCTCGTTTTCCTATTTGGTTTAGAAAGGCATCTTTGGCTAAATTTAGGGGAAAATTCTATTATTTTAGCTGCTCAAACATATTCTCAGTTAGTTGTTCACTTTGCCAGTCTGATGACCGACCACTTGAGTCCTTCGTGCCCCACTACATGTCTATGTAAATAATTTCGTCCCCCCCCGCCTTCGGCACTTGCCCTTTGAGCTGCAGCTGGAGAATAAATGTTCAATTTGTAGTTGTCAATTGGCTACTTAGTGCAGTGGAGAGATCTGCCATGGCAACGAAAAGGGAAAATGCCGAAGCAATTGAAAAGTAAACGAAACTAATGCAAGAATTTGGCAAAGTGCCATTGATAGATGCTGGTATGCTGGGCGAAAGTGAAAAGACCCCCTTAATACTTTCCAGTAAAGGCTTCTGAAGTAATAAAATGAAAAGGCAAAGGAAAGTAAATGAATATTTCCGAAGTACTAACATGGCATTTTTGAATAAACATGAGGAGTTCAAAAAATATTTTGAACACTTAAAATCAATAGGTGTATGACCAATTTGTGCAAAATATTTATCTGAACGCAACACTATTGTCTGCAGGACTCCCATTAATAAAATCCCTGAGCTCATCATCATGCATTCCTTATAGAAAATGAAGCCATATCATTAACTTTTGGCAACAAGGAGAGTTTTACCTTTTGGCCTCTCGATAAGCAGCTCATTACTCAACTGCAGAAAAGAAAGCCCGCAAAAGGTTAGGACCGAAACCCCGACTTTTTGTGATTTACTGGCCCCGAACAAGCGCTTGGATCAGCTAAAAACGGCCGAAACATAATAATAATTTGTTACATGCAAAAAGCACAGTGCAAAGGAGATAAACAAAATAAATGACAAAAGCATGTCAGCACAAAGAGGCAGCCGAAAAGCAAACTAGAATGGAAATGGGAATGAAAATGAAAATGGAAAATGGATATGGATCCGCTGCTCGGAATCGGGAGGCTTTTTGTTGCAACCCTCAGCGATTTTTTGTCTTCTTTCACGGGGCACCGACTACAGACATTTGCATAAATTATCATTTGGTGAGCCGGAACAAAAAGCCGGGATGGGCAGAGATACCATATACCTTCGGCGGGCTAAAGGAGCTGCCTTTGCCTGAAAAAAATGGCCAGGGGGAGGGCAATAAAAGGCAAATGCATAAAATAACATAAAATAAAACAAGAATTTATGTGCTAGAGCAGGGCAACGGCAAATATCAAACAAATTGCAATAAAATGCAAATTTAAATAGAAACGGAGAAGTATATATAAATTCTGGCTGTGCATTAAAGCCCAACGAAATGTTCATATAATTTTTGGCTGAAACAATTTGAATTTAAATATTTCATGCTTAATTTTAAAGAATTTTATTGCCGAGCGGCAAGCCGCAAAGACGGGAAAGGGGAAAGTCCCCGGGCTATTTGGCAGGGGGAAAATGGGGGTGTTTGGGGCTGGTAGTCCCCCTTGTTTGTTTCCAAGCAGCTGAACACAGCTGGAAGAGAGGTATGAAAAACGAAGACAGCGTTTCCTTACATTTTAATACACTTTTCCACGAACACGCCCCTATCGAAGAGCAAAACGCAAAAAGCAACAGCCGATGGCAGGTGATGTCTCTCACTCCCATCCTCAGTTTTTTTTTAAAGGAAAACTTTTTCTGCACAATGAATTTTTGCGCATTTTCCACCTGTATGAGCTTGGCCCCGGGAAAACGGTGTGTTGGTAAGCCCGTCCAGGAAATCGATTCGCTGTGGTTGTTGCTCTGGTAATGAGACCTACCATGACCAAAACGGAAAAGTGCCGAAAGGGAAAGAGCACCATTTTCCAATGTTTTTCCCATCTCGTTTCGGGGAACTCGCAACTATGCAAATGGAAGGTAAATAACAGAGCTTAGTCCTTTGGCTCAATCACTGGTAAAGGAACCAGGGAAAGCTCCTCCTTTGGTTTTTAAAAGGAACGGGGAAAAGCTATTAGTATGTGGGCAAAAAGAGGGGAGAGCAGCAACAAATCTCAGCTAATTAAAGTCAACAAGCAGAATCATTTGAAATGCAAATGTCAAACGGCATAATGGTAATATTAAAGTGTGTGTGTGGGTGATGAAGTACACAGGATAATATGTGTGTGAAGGAATTAAGCAAACAAAAAGAGCAAAGAAACACGGGAAAAAAAAGAGTGTTACGATAAAAATGGCATGCCCTACTTGTATTCCAATTTATATATTATTACATAAAAACTATTCTGATTTTAAGAAGTATTTTTAAATGACTGGTTATATTTGTGACTACTATATTTTTCTTACATTTATGGAGAATTAAAATCATTACTCATATACCCCAATCAATATATAATATATATTTCTTAGGGTATTTAATTTAAATGTTTTCCCCTTCGAACACTTTCACTTAACACTTTTCCCCAGAATCTCTCATATGTTTTATAAGGGTCCTAACCAGTCCCAAGCACCCGCACAGACATAATAACTTTTTTGCTCTTTAAAGTTGAAGTACACCAATTTGATGAGGGTAATTATTGGCGAACTCCTCGGGGTCGAGTTGGAAAAGGGTAAACCGAGATTTATGCCCGACATGGATAGGAAGCTGAGACCCGCAAAAAAATTAAGATAGAAGGAAGCATAGAATTTCAATTAAAATTAGCAGCCAGGTCGTTAATATAAAATATTGCTAATTAGATTGCCATAGACCCAGAGACCAGTAGCATTTACTGCCTCGTCTTCGTCTTTTGCATTGATTTTAACACGACCATGAATATTAAATTACCACCTCACATACATAGATCCCACAGTGTTTTTGGGGTGGAGAAAAGTTTGTCTGCCATAAATTAAAATCAACGCCCATAGAACACGCCCCTTCCTCTCGTTTTCCACTCCTCTCCTCACAGCCGCCACTCAGAATGTTGACGGTAATTAACTTTTAGGCATTTTCCATGCATATTTATGTGGGGTGTTGTGGGGGGTTGGGGTAGGTACTCCTGCTTGCATAACATTAACATGA